TCCCATGTGGGTGCCCGAGCCCTGGCTTACCGTCACCCAGCACCCCAGGGTGAGCGCTTCCCCCGCCTACGTGCTCCTTCGAAGCCTGCAGTGCGTTTATGAGTCAATGAGATTAATAATTAACCAGAGCTTTTTTTTTTCTTTCTTGCAGTCGGTACTAGACTCCCACGCCGAGACAAAGGAGCCGGGCCTCGGCCATGGAGCCTTTGGTGGGACTTTTTTTTTTTTTTTTTTACACCTTTTCAGAGAGTGAAAGAGAAAGACGAAAGAAGGAGCGAGTGTGGTCTATGTGTAAGTGTGTGCGCGCTGGGTTCCACGTGTGGGTTTGCATGTGTTGTAGCAGAAGTAGGTGACTCGGCAGCTTATTGGTGCTTTTGAAACCTTCATACATGTGATGTTATAGACACACACACACAAACAAATGCTCAGCAAGTCATCAGCAGCACTGCTTATAATCGCGAGGTGTGAAAAAAGGATTGTGGCTAGATCTGCGTCACACATATTGAGCACTGCTGACAGGACAGCTGTGACATGATGAAGGAAGTGTGTCATGCTATCGGCGGCTAACGTAGCCTCTGGTTGTTCTCCTCTAGCAGAGAAAAGCAGCACGCTTTTTTTTTTGTTAATCCACCGCACAGAAAACCGTGTTCAGCGCGTTTCCCTTGCAGCCGTTGGTTTCCGTTCCTTTTGCTTACAATAAAAAAAGCGATTGGCTAACTTTTGTAGTGAGTCACTGCAGTGAACATCAAACATAACCTGCACACAGGCCATCATCAATCTTGCTAGTGTGGACCGCTACGTGCGGTGTGATGTAAATCACAGTTTGGTGTGGACCATAAGCCATACCTCGCGGTACGACCGTCAATAAAAGGTCCGGTGTGGAGTCACTCCTCAAAGGACCCCGCCAGCGATTTTAACCAGGTTTTGTTTTTATTCTCAATTGTTGTGAAGCCGATTACCAAGAGTCAGTTGCAACACAGCAGCAGTTGAATGGATTAGCTAAGAATATGGATTTAAGGGTTTAGTCCGGTACTTGATTTTTTTTCATCAATGAACAAATACTGCCAGCACTCTGCACCAGCCATTTTGAATTGTGATAATCTATACAAGCTTTGTAGTCGAGGGGATGAAACTTCCTTTTTTGTGTCATTAAGGGACCAAAAGCAGTGGTTTATGGTTAACGTCCTGTTTGTTTTGGCCCCAGGTGTTTTTGTGGTTGGGGGAAGGACAAAGTTTCCAGTGGGTGTTTGTGAGCGTTCAGGGTTCTCATGTTTACAGCCCATGACTGTCATAACTGCTGAACGGGCCTTTTTGGAGACGAGGTGACCAATCAAAATGTCCACAGCTTCCCACACAAACTGCTCGCCTCACAGAGACCGATCCGGCATTCACAACAGCTGTTTAGAGAAACGCAAGATGAATCGAGTGACTCCGCGTGCTGCAAACAGGGAATCCCCCTCTTGTGCCCTTCCCCGACTGGAACGAAGCCAACGACGCTGCTGACTCAAAAAGGTGATGCGGCGCCGCGTACGGAGAAGTGACAACGGCTGCTGCGAGGAGGCCCGAGGCTCCGGCTCGCCTCCTCTGTCCTGTCCGTTGCCATAACATGCAAAGCAAGCCGGTGCTTTCCCGCGTTGGGCGGTTTGTCACCAGAGGTGGCAGCTGCGTTGCTTCAGGGGACTTATCTCGCGGCCCGTCGCTCCTCTGTAAATATTAGGTAATAAAGGAAGGGAGGCAAAAAGCCCGAGTTGGTCGACGATCGACCACCGACAGGCCTCGCTTCGGGCGACGCTGACGCATTTATTTTAAAATTTCCTGCCAAAGTTGTTGTTTTGGTTTCATTGTCTCTTGTGACTTTTTTTTTTTTTTTTTTTTTCCCTTGTGAGCGAGCAATTCAAGCTGTGCACAGATTCTCACCTAAGCAGAAAAGTGCAGGTAGTGGCAGCTTCACTGACCCCCCCCCCCCCTGCGTTCCCCTCCCCCCCCAGGGGGTTAAGAGAGAAACATTTGTCTTATGTCGCACGCAAGGCTGGGCGGAACATGAAGGCTATAGTTACCACGGGGCCGCGTTCCCCTCCAGGTTGTTCTCGTATGCTCTGCTGTGTGAGAAAAGTCAGCCTTGTGGCCGATGGTGCTTCTCTTTGTGTGGGATGCAAAAGGCCCTTCACAAAGAACTGCCTTAAGGTTGTTGTTGTTGTTGTTTTTTCCTCTCTTCTCCTCTCAGCGTTGTCGTTGCTCTCCTGTGTGCCTCAAAAGACCGGCGACGGCACCACGCCGCGTCAAGCTTTGGGTGTTGCCGTTTGTCTACATGAGGGTCAGCGGACTGGAGGAAATGGCGTTCGCTCAAGCCGTTGGTGTTATTAAGTTGCGTTGCCTCCTTGCTTTTTGTCAGATCTCGGTTGGTTATCTTTCACTTCTTAACACTCTTCCTCTTATTTGACTGTTTGTGGTTACTTTTATCAGTTTCCTTTTATATTTAAAGAGTTACACCTACAATAAGGAGGGGGGGGGGGGGTTGGCCCCTTTTGAACTCTGGTGCTCGGATCGTTGCTTTTAGACGTAAGCGCACCAATTTTATTTAACATTTTCTATCGCTTACGAATGCAATTCTAATCTATTATGAACCCTCTTTGTAGCCGTGTTGGTTTCATGAGCACCTGATTTACTACGTCAAATTGTCGGGCATTCAAAGTATTTTCTCCCAAGCTTTTAGCGTTCCTTAAAATCAAGATATTCTTGCACGTAGCGATCCAGCTTGCCAGGTTTCCAGCCAAGCTTTCTCCAGCGTTGCTGTATTTGTCACTGTCTTGGCTGAGGTTGAACTTTTCCTGTGCAGCCTCATGCAGGCCTTATCTGCTCCGCCTGCACAGTGTCGAGCACGGGGCGTGCCCAGGCAAAGGTGAGGAGGTTAAGCGAGAGGTGTAAAATCGACATCTGGCGCTTGTGACTGTTTAGCTTCCTTCTGTGTGCCCGTTTCTGCGTATGTGCCGGTGTGTTAAGCATTAACTGATGCCTCTCACCCCCACGGTCAGCTACCCCCGACAGTGTAATAAAGAGGTCTTCGACACACAGCTGACGCTCACACACAAACGCACTCGCAGCCTGTCGTTCTCATCCACTTTCACCTCATGGTGGCAGAGCCCGTCCATTGTATTTCTACACCTATGACACGCTAAGCTTCAATAATCCCCTATTACGTGACACTATGTACACAATATCCTCATGTTACGGCTGTAGGGGATCAGGTGTACAGGAAAGTATGTCGTTGTGTTTAAAGGCCACCAAATAATGATTCAGATTACTCATTGACTTGTGTGACAGGTGACATTGTTGCAGGACTCCGGTTTAGGGCTCCTCCTCCTCCTCCTCCTCCTCCTCCTCCTCATGCACTTTTTTTTCCAGACTAATCAACTCATTTAAATCATAAGCGATGAAGACTCACTATAACGGGGCCCTTTTGGCCAATCCCTAGATTCCAACTGACATCTTCAAATTGTTTGCTTTGCCAAAACCTCGGGATCACTTACCACCATTCTGGTGACATTCTTTCATGGGGTCGGGCAGCAGCGTCGAGCTACATTCTTGTCTCTTTCCCACCTCCTTTCTCGCCGCTGACGTCAGCAGTAGGTGAGGGAGGACGCGCAGCGAGTCGCACATCACCTGTAACACTAGCTGCATTGTGCTGAATGTTGCATTGGTCACGTTGACCTGGTTACGGCTTCATTATTCATGGCAACGGGAGGTTGGCAACGGCTTGCTGGTGCCTACACGTGCGTGTGTGAACTCCCATCAGTCCTCGGGCCCAAAAAAAAAGGCGTGGTAGTAATCCAGAGCAGGAGACGTAACACCCGGACCATTAGCGGGCCAGCTCACATAGCCCCAGGCGCTGGCGGCTGACAGACGCGCGTAAACACGCCGCGCCGCTTCCCACAATTCACCGCGGCTTCGGCATTCATCACCTCTCCTCACAGCCCCCCAGCGCCAGGCTCTTCTGTTTTCGGACGCCACACTTGGGCGGCCCTCAAATGTTTGCCGTGGTCCTCAGCGAGCCCTCAGAGGGAGGGATTAGTGTGTGTGTGTGTGTGTGTGTGTGTGTGTGTGTGTGTCCAGACAAAGCCTCCCCATCTGGAGCTGCAACCCGTGACCGGGGAACAGAGGCGGCACAGAGAGCCTGGCCGAGGCCGCCCGGAGAGGCCAGGAGAGAGGGGGGCCGGGGGGGATCTATAGGCACCACTTAATAAATGAGCAGGAGTCCTGCAAATGAATGAAGTGGGCGTATCCATCCTTTGATGTGATTGGGAGAAAAAGGGGTCCTGCGTGCCGTCCCGGCGTCGGGCCAAAGGGATCGCATGTCCCCAACCAGCTGATCAAACGGACAAATCCACATCGATCACTGGCCGCTGGTCCAAACAATGCCAGCGGCCAGGGGAGGGGTGGAGGGGGGGTGTAACAGGCAAGGCCACGTCGTGCCTCCTGCTGAATTGTCATTATTTAAGAAACCAGTTGCAGTGGTTACTGATGTTTTTTCTTTCACCTGTTTGTGGCAATCAATCCAATAAACGTAAAAATAAACATAATACTGTCAACGGAATCCTGAAAGTTTCTCCCCCCGGGTTGGAAACCACTGGCTTGAGTCTCCAAATCATTCTCTTGGTTTTCGGTTGAGATTTCTTGAGTGCGTGTATCTCATTCAACTCCCTCGTTGGCCCGTTTGAGTGTCTGGAACACTGTGTGACAGCTGGTGATGGAGACAGAAAGCATGCTCGGCCTGCAGCGGCTTTTGGCAAGTAGCTGCACAGACACCTTTCAGTGCGAAGATATCAACAAAGCACTGAAAATGATATGTACGTGATCAGAAGTGAGTTCTTATGGTGACTCTTGACAAAGATGTGGTTTATTGCCAAATTTGCATCTTTAGTATTATTAATTGAGCCGATAACACCTAACTAAGTTTGTTTTTTTTGTCCTTAAGCGTGTGCCTCTGCCTTCTCCTCCTCCAGGCCCGGCGACGAGACACACCCGGCGGTGACGGCCGACGCCACAGTGGACAGCCTGGCCCGGGCGGTGGACGCGCTCCTCCGTCAGAGGCAGCAGACGCCGTGACCCCGGGGCGATCGCGGGCTCACGTCGGGGTATTGTTTTCGCACAGCTCTACGAGGAATGACCTCAGCGCGTGAGGGACGCATAGTGTGTTTGTCAGTACATGATTGATAGGAGACCTGTAGTTGACACCACCGGCCATGTGACCACTCACAGGTAGGAAGATGCAGCACTCACTGCTAGTGTTACACACCGAAGACCAGTTTGTTGTGTAACTGCAAATGCACACTTGCAAGATGCAGCAGTGTAGTTTGACAAGTGTTATATTAATAAAGCTATTTATATGTTATCGCTGTTGTCGCCCTCATATTTGCCAATTTGTCTGGAGGAGTAGTTTTTTTTTTAAAGGGGGTCTAAAGGGCACGTGGGAAAACGGGAATTTATCGGAGCAGCTTTTGTTTTACAAAAACGCATCGCTGGGAAGGGGAAGTGCGCTGGTCTTGGAGATGATAAATGCAGAACCTCAGGCAAGCGCAATGAATTACGACAGCGCTTGAGCTCATGTTTCCTCCCTCTGTAAACAAAAAAGAAATAAACACGCCGAGTGAAGAACGGCAAATCTGCGACTGCTTATCTTTATTTACTTGACTTTGCGCCGCCTCTGCCTGGAAACCGTCCTGTCATCGCTACGCCGTTAATTGCCGCTCATTAGACGCAGCGCGTTCACTCCCGTGTCTACAGTGAGGTTAAATCAGAACATGATGAGGGGGGGGGGGGGGAGTTTGCTATTGGGCTTTTGCTTGCCAGCTGGATCACCGAGGCCTCTGCAAGTGGGGCGTAAAACAAATGATTCTCCATCGCTGCCCCGTAAGGTCTCAGTGCACCAAATGGATTCAACAAGAACAAAAGCCCATTGCCAAGTAATTCTCTGAGGCCTTTCTGGTTCACTTCACCATTCGCTGACACAAGCTTGAATGTTATGAAACGCTGCAAAAGTATTTAAGAAACTGTGCAACCGAGCTGGTTGCACCAAATATGAATGTGCACGGCGAAGTACTAGCAGCCGGTACCCAGTTTTCTAACAGCTTACACATTGTTTGACTTGGTGTCGGCCCATCAAGTTACCGCCCACTGGCCTTGTGTGGAGCTGTTGAACACATATTTGACTACTTTCAAATGAATTCACTTGGCTTTAACTAAGTTGCAGTTCATGGAAAATGCGCTTTTGGCCAATTCTGAAGGATGTAGGCCACGGTTTTCAACACACCCCCCACCCCTTTTTAAAAATGTATTTAGCATCGCTAGCTGTAAAACACACGCGCACACACATGCCCCAGAGCTAGCTGGTTGATGACCAAACCCTGTTTCACGCTGGCTCAAGGTCGTCCACCCGTTTTCACACAAGTTAGGATTACCAGCAGGTTACGAAGTCGTGTGGTCCTTCCAGAGTGCAGCGCGCTGATTCTCTCCTCGAGGCCGCAGACTGCAGAGAAAGGTTTCCTTTCAAATAAAAGGGACGGTCTCATTTCAGGAGACGTGTCTGGGCATGTTTGACCTCACTGCCACAGGTCGGTATCGACAGACATAATAATCACTGACGTTGTGGTGGTGGTGTGTTTTTTGTTGTTTTTCCTTCTAGTTGGGGGCTATTGGCACATCAGTCAGTCTACTGTACGTAAGTGGCCTCGTGTAAACATGGATAGTCTTGAAGCCATTAGGCGCTGACTGTATTTGCAGATAATTGGCAGGAAATAAGTTTAAATAGTGATTGTTTTGGCTGCAAAAACCTCATGAGCTTCAACTGTAACGCTTTCTACGTGTCGTGTTCAAATAAAGAAAGGGAGGATATCGTGAATTTAATATTTATGTATTGTTAACACTTACCTGTTTTATCATGTAGCACTTTGGGATTTGCTTAAATATAAAGTGCATTACAAATTAAATGTATTATTATTAATAATAAAGAAGCGTAAAAAAGTGAACACCTCAGCTGAGGATTTGCTGGTACATTTACATCAGTAAAGGTGTGAAGGACAGCGTCCACGTCTCTGGGCATGTGACGTGTCCTGGTGCGTTCAAGGTGACTAGGTGGTGGTATCAAGTAATACGTGCATGTATTTTGATTGATTTACATTGAATACAGTCATAGCTGTGCATCAGTATTACTCCCTTGATTGCAGTTTCAAAATCACAGCGGTACACTGGCATTACGCTATAATCATTTCTTATTTTCTGAATTATAGCTGTATAATTAAATGTACACAATGCATTTTATTGCTTTAATTTATTTGTTTTTAAAATATAAACCATCATCTCGGTTCACAAGCACGCGGGTTTTCAAAAAATAATCAACAAGCCCAAGACCTTTTTGGATGTTGAGGCTGATATTCATCCTTATGTTTTTCTGACATTTAAAGCACTGAAAGATGTATTCCCACCAACTAATCCAGAATAAGTTTAGCTTGATGTTTATTTTAAAATATCAGTTAAATCTGCAGTCGGAACAGGATTACGACCATTTAATCATGTGATTTGTAGATGTGTGTCGGTCAGGAGAGCGACACGCGCTGTATGAGCAGGAGAATGTGGCCCTGTGTTAAATGTTTCATGGCCAATCTCCAGGAGCCGGTACTGACTCGTCCTGGGAGCCTCATTGGCACAAAAGTCTGGTTTGTGTCCAAATCCAGCAAAATGTCTGGTTTGTTTTTAAATGTGTCGGTGACCGAATAAGTGACTTCCACTCTGAAACGTTTGTATTTGTTGGAATGATTCTGAAGTCAAATCTAAAATGAAGCCAGACATTTTTTAGAAACGAGGCCCCTTAGAGCTCTTCGAGTTGACGCCCACACACACACACACACACACACACACACACACACACACACACACACACACACACACTCGCACACACAGTGTGCGCTACTGTCGCTGAGCCAACACTCATACATCCGTTTCTGTGTCATCTGTTTGGGTCGGGCTCCACGTACACTGCTTGCACGCTGCCGTTCTTGTGGCGCACCTGCATTCAACCCACCTAAACAACTGCCAGCTGTCGCCTTTCTACTCTCATCTCCACTTATTTGGTGCATCCTGTTTGACAGGAAACGGCGGGGTCGGCTGACCAGACGCCGCCGCCGCACACCTGCAGCCCCAAATGCACCGTTATCTGTGGAAACATGCACTCATTTTTTCGACAGCAGTTCCCTCCCTTCTGTGCTCGGAGCGGCGCTCCTTAGGAGCTCCTCGCTTGTAAGAGGCCTCCTTCTTACTCAGCCAATCCCACATGGTTTTCCCCACATTTCATCACCCCCCCCTTCCCTTGCGGGGCTGCCGTGCCAACAGCCCTCGGTGGCGTGGGAGTACTCTGAAACTCGTCGGGTTTGCAGCAGAGGCCTGAATTTCCTCTCTGGGGGGGGTTTCAAGCGATCTGAGAAGTGTCTCAGATTGTGGACAAAGCGGTCTGTTCTCCAGCCGTCACCGGGCCGTCCGGGGACACGACCCCGCCCCCCCACCCCGTCCCGCTCCTCCGACTCAACGGCCCGCTAAAGCGTCAGAGGCCCGGCTCCCCGGACGCTAAGCATGACCCGCGTGACGTCAGAGGTTATGCGTGTGCATGCGTCTTTGCAAACATACACATGCATGTAGTTTCTCACCCAGACCACATTGGAGCCTGCAAGTGAGCGGTAGGCACCAGACCTGGAAGCGAGTGCCAACATGTTAGTTTCATGTCGCAAACAGTTTCCTTACAAGTGTTTAACTACTGAGAACAACATGTTTTCGAAAATTCTATTAGCTGTTTGTGGTCATGATTTTTATTTTTATTTGATTTGATTTTAAATAGTAAAACGTTGCAGAAACCTCTCCATGTCAGCAAAGCAGACAAAAGGTGTTTTGCTCTTGAAATCTGACACATACGGACCATCCGATGCTGAAAATAAAAAAAGTGACTCATCATCAGAGCGAACATCGGCATGACATGCCCTTCCTGCTGCACTAATATCTCCTCTCACAACTCGGCCTCCTCTCATTTGCGTCAACTCCCCCTCCCCCACCCACCCCCCCAACCTCGATTAAAGTCCCGTGTCCCTCGGTGCATCGGCATTCCCCAACGGCACGTTTACACGTTTCCTTCGTTCACCGGTGGTCAGCAGGCGCTTTGCGTGGTCTACGGGTGGCTCTGTAAAGAGGAAGCGTGACCTCACCGTGCAAGCACACAGATTCACACGCACCGGTTTCAATCCGTTACGGGGCGATTGGGGCGTTCTGCTCTGTGCCCTGCGTTGGACGCTTTGGAGGATGTCGAGAAATCTTTTGATGAGGAAACGTTCCATCTTTTCCTCCCTCAGTTGCATCTTAACCTTTTTCAAATCAAACCTCGCGATCTTAATGGTTGAAACGGATGACAAAAAAAAAAAAGTTGCGTTTGGTGTGATTGTGGTGGTTTCCAAAGGCAGTTGGAGTGGGGCGGGGAGGGACGAAGAGGGGGGGGGGGGGTGCAGACAAACGGAGCAGCAGCTCTGACACATGGCCCACATTCACAGCCGCCTCCCACGTCACCCTGCTCCTCAGAGGAAAAAGCCCCTTTTGTTTCCCAGTGCGGGACGGTGGGGTGAGGAGGAGGAGGGTAGGGGGGGGGGGGGGATCTCTGGGGTGAACCGCCGCTCAGCTCCACCCGCCATCAAAACGAAAAAAAAAAACAAGGAAGCGGACTTCCCGCCTGGCGTCCTCCCCACTCACCCGCTCCAGCACACAAACACAGGCCCATCAGTCGGGTCTTCTGCTGCTGCTTAATTGGGTCAGTCCGCATTGTTGCATTGAAGACGTCGCCCAACGACGAGCTCGCGGTTGGTGCGTGGAGTGGGATCCTAAGTCGGGTGGTGGTGTCACAGTCGAGTCACGTGTTTGTAGCTGTGTAAAGTAGGTCGTTTCATGGCGTTAATATATTAACTAGCATGCAGGTGACTTTCTGATTTGAGAGTGAAACAATATTTTCCTGTGAGGGCAGAACGTGTGTTTGAACAAGTAAAGTATAAACACCGTAAAGTTAAAATGTCATAGTACTTAATAATTAGATTCCATCTGAACTAATAAGATCTAATAAGTTTTGTTTGCTACAATCACATTGTCTGATTTTGTTCCAATAAAGACGCTGAAATAACGCGATTACAACCGACACATTTAAAACTGTGTTTTATTTGTATAGAAATATGCTCATGTTTTACATAACTTTGTAATTACAAATTGTAAAAAGAATATTAACACTATTAGAATCACAAAGCTCTTCTCACACAAACTCATCTCAGAGAGAAGCCTGATGTTACTGTGTGAAATGTTAAGCTCTTTAATATACTTTACAGGTTGTGTGTGGCTGCGGCTCGTTGCTCAGTAAGTGAAAGGGGCTTTACTTTACTAAGTAGTCTTCATTTCTGTCCATCATGTACTCGTGTGCTATTGAAGAGGAACGGAAACTCTTTCTAGTGCAGAGAATTGATACAAACCTGCTGTGAATTCTCTCCAAACGCAATACAATGAAGGTAATCGGGGTTACGGCGAAATGTTAAACCCCCCCCGAAGTCTCTCTAAGCCAAAAACAATATATACTTGTTATATTCATCAGATCCATCATCTCCACCCAAGAATCAGTCCTTCCATACTTCCATGTTCTTCTGAGACACGGTTGAGATAACGCACAGTGTGGGAGTAGCTTCTTACTACACAAAGCCTCCAAAAACTTCTGCTCAATTTCTCCTTTGGGGAAAAAAAAAAAAAGAAACTAGTGCTGGAACGCTGTTGCTGCATCAGCTTTCCACTTGCTTTTACTTAAGACTACCGGTACTGCTTGCTGTTCCACCTGCCGATCAACTTTTGGTCCCCTCAGCTCAGTTCCTCTCGATTTGCTCGATGTCGATCTCGCCTCCGAGTTGATGCACGTCCTTCCTCATGCTGCACCGCCCTGCCCACAGAGGCTCGCTGTCCTTCCCGTTGGTCGTGCCCGGCGACCAGTTCACCTCCTCCTCGGCGGCGGCGGGCTCCGACGGCTCGCTCACCGCCGCCCGGCCGCCCGCGGAGACGTCTTCGCCTGCGACTCCTGGGTAGCCGAGGCTGTGGAAGCTGCAGGGTTTCTGCGGGGAGTACGGAAAGACGTTTTTTTTTTTAGGTTTTCAGAAGCGTAAGTGGAAAAATCGTAATGGAACGAGCGTCAACTTAATCAAACACGTCAAATCTTTGGACTCATGTCTCGGGCCGGGTCACAAGCAAAACCAAAACGCCATATGGAAACAACCCCTCTAGTGTACTCGGTGAGTCAGTGAGGTCGGAGACACTGAGCAGTAACCCTTTGAAGGGTTACTGCTCACATAATGGAGCAACTGGTAGTTGACTAGGATGAGTGAGGCTGTGCGATCTCAGGGTCCAGGCAGCGAGTGGCCAGATACCCAGAGGGCAGACATCGCTCCTGTTGGCCCTTTTGGACTCTGTTCATTGTGCGGCTCTTGGAAAAGGCCCATCATACATCTGGGAAACCCAGAAACCTCGTCGGTGAGGGCGGGGGGGTGGGGGGGGCCAAATCCACATGTGCCAACTCTGCTGCAGGCGAGCGCCGCGACAGCTGTGCGTGCTGGAATTGGGAGGCTTCGCGACAGAGGCTTATCCAATCTGCGCGGCTAACGTGGACAGCTGCCTGGGCCAGAAGGACACGGGAGAGTGGGGCCTCTGTGGAGCCTCCTGTCACCTGTGTGCTTCTGTAAGGCCCAGTGAGAGGTCACCGCGGATCAAATGCGCCCCCCCCCCCCACCCCCCGCTGTTTTTTCTTGGCCTCGTTGGGAACGCACACACACACACACACACACACACACACACACACACACACACACACATTCGCCAGCACACCAGGCCGGTGTCACATTGCCGCCTTCTGCACCGGCACTTTGTTCTCGGCTCTCGGGTTGCCGCCATGGGACCGACGGCGGCGGCGACGCGATGGGCAATAACTGCGCCAAGCGCAGCTGGGAGGAAACCGTCCTCAAACAACTTATTGCGTCACATCGCAATGCGGGTCATGGATACGCGCTGCCCCCCCCCCCGCCCCCCCTTCCTTTCCCTCTGAGAATGAAAAGCAGAAGACCTTACTGACCTTGACTCCATCAATACAAGCTGATCAATAGCTCACGAGCCCTGCCCTCCCCCCCACCCCACCTCCGGCAGCGATCCACCCACTGAGCTGAATGTACAGAAATCGATATCTCTTTACCCAACATGCAACGATCCATAACCTGGACAGCTGCTCCACTTCCTGACATTCATGGAGCCGCAGAGAGCCGCGTTTCTCCCTGAGTAAACTACACCGCTGTGGCGGGTGGATGAGAGGACACTTCGGAGACGCACTCAGCACTGCGACCGACCTTTTGAATAGTGAGGTGACTTTGAGCACTGATCCGGTGCCGTATGTGTGTGTGTCCACAGAGTCTTTGCGGCTACATTCTGAGGACTTGTCCAAACAAGCCGTCTGTTTTTCAATTAATCCATCAAAATCAACCACATAATTGTCAATCCAAAACGTTCCACGGTCCAAAACCCAAATGTTTCCAATTTCAAATCACATAAAATAAACATTTGAGGGGCCGGTAAATGTGTGGCGTTGTTGCTCGACAAAAGACTAATGAAACGATTATGCCGTTGTCAGTTTGGTTGCATTATTGGGCCAAAAACCACCGTGGAACTTGTTTCCTGCGAGGCTCCTCTCGCCGCTGTTCGGACCGCGTGTGGCGTCTGCTTGTTGTGTCACAGCAGCACTGTTGTTAAGACTCCGATGAACTCCGGGTGACTTTCTCAGAAGGGGCCAAGTCCAGCTTGGTGTTCGTGATCCGGTCAGCGTGTGTGTGAAACTACGTGTGCTTGCGGGAGTCGAGGATGTGCACACGTCAGATGAAACAGCCGTTTCTCGTATGACGACCCATGTGCTCATCTGGCTGACATCTTAACCCAGTACTACTATTAAAAGGCAACGATCTGCTTTGCGCGCTCTCTTTGCGCGACCGCGCAATGGAAAGTGACCCTGAAGAGGCCTGCGTGGCTAAACTAACGCCGTCATTTAATGACGACGGCTGCAAAAACACTTCCAGGTTTACTGGTGGAGAGCGGACACAAAGGGCGTGACCTGAGCTGGAAGTGTTTGTTTATCCAACGTGGCGGGGGGTGGGGGGGGGGGGGGGTTAAGTTGCCACAACAGCGTAGTAGAAGTAGCTAATGTGGGTGCGACTGATGGACCTAGCAGAGCTTTTCCTGAGGGCCTCGCCTTATCTGGACCCTTTCTGCAGAACAATGCGGCTGCAGCAAGTTCAACCAATGAATGAATGGCATATAAAATGCTGGAAAATTGCCCACGATAGATTATAGGATTTGCCCGGGGGCGACATTGCCCACACCGTGTGACAGTTTGTACGAGGCATTAAGTCATGATAAGCACAATACGAACTCAAGCGGCAGAGATTGCAGTGTTTAATCAGGTGTATATTCTCCTGATTAGACTTTATTACTTCTGTAATTCTCTTTTTCACAAAGTAACCAACCTCGCTCATCTTGGCCAGGTCCAAGGCCGGCCTCCTGCGCTTCACGCCGACGCACGGCTGCGAGCGACTGCGGGCGAGGCCCACGCCGCCGCGGCGCTCCAGCTCCGGCGTGGAGTCCGGGGAGCTGGCCGGCGAGGGTCCGCGGGGCTCGGGGAGGCAGATCGGTTCGTGAGAGAGGTAGGGGGGCAGCGCCGAGGGCTCCGAGGGAGGAGTCGTGGAGGAGGACGGCGTCAGGCCTCGGAAGGCCGGGGGGCAGGGGAGAGCGCCGGGGGTGTTGGCGCGGGCAGGCAGGCTGAAGCTGGAGCTGCGCTGCACGGCCGGGAAGGCCGGCTGCGCGTGGGCCGCGCCGCCCCCGCCGCGCTGGACGCTGCCGCCGCTGTGGCACCGCCGCTTCACTACCGCCGTCCACACGCGGGAGCCCTGCGGGCGCCAGGGCGAGCGGCAGCCGGCGAGCTCCTCCGAGCAAGACAGGGAGCGGCACTGCCGCTTGCTGGGGGGCGCGGTGGAGTGCGAGGACCCGGCCTCGGTCAGGCTGAGGTCGCGCAACAGGCTGGTGATGGTGGTCGAAGTGGAGCCGACGTCCCAGTCCCAGTGGGCGGAGCTCTCGTGCACCTCGGGCAGGACGTCCCACAGGCTCTCCAGGCTGGTGCCGACCGGCCTCGGCTGTACAGCGCAGCTGTGACCCAACTCGCGCCACCGGCTTGTCTCTGCATCGAAAGGACGGATTCATTTTTATTTAAATGACCTTTGAAGGTCAGATCACAGACAAGATAGAGGACTTTATTTATGGGCTTATTTTCCCACCAGAACACATTTAGTTTAATGTTTGCATATCAGCACTGAAATGATTGTACAACCTAAATATTATGTACGTTTTTTGTGTTTATATAACAGGGTGCAAATAGGGGATGTGTATGTATGAAGGGACTTTGACAATATGGGAAACCTGTGAACATTTTCCCTGAGGCGACGCAGGAGGTCATACGATAGGGGCCGAGACTGTGGACCTTGATTTTCATTCGTCAACAATTTCATTTGGGTTGGACATTTAGATTCGGAGTGCCAGGTTTTTCCGACACATTTGTTTTTGGAGAACATGCGTGCCAATCACCTCAGACACGACCACCGTTCTACGATCACCAGAGGTCATGTTTGTCAACCTCATCCATGTGTACTAATAATGAATGTAATGACACTACGCAGCGCATACTGCAATTAGGCACTAAAAATAACCTGAGTGCCTCAGGCACTGCTTCCAGTCACAGAGTTCAAGCTTAGCGAATCGGGAAGAGGAGCGAGCTCCATGTCTACCTCGTCATTAACCCGCCAGAGATCTGTTTTTTTTGTTAAGATTGGCGGGAGTTCTGTATCAACCGCTCTCCCTAGATGCCATCACTGGCTCGTAGCTGCCGAGCCTGGAAAGCGATTCTCTGAATCGTTCACCAGCCCAACTGCTTAGTCAACTCTGAGTCAGGCCGCTGCCCACTCGCGGTATGCAGAAGTTCTATTCTTCTCCACTGGAGATAAAAATCCAAAATGCCATCTGGTAAACACGGGGCAGGAGGAAGAACAAAGGCCAGTGTTTACGGCACCTACGGGTGCTGCCGTGTACCGTGTGCCAGTATTACGCACTCATTGCCAAGACGCCGCGAGGACGGAATTCCATCACACCGTAGAATACAAGGACCGGAAAAGATGTTACTCATAAAGGAAGGGTGATCGTAACCACCTTCTTTTTTTTTTTTGAGTTGGGGACAGCATGTCCACAGCTTTAAAGTATGCAGGAGTGCCATAACATCCACGGCGGAAACACCTGTCGAGACATTTTTCACATTACGCCTCGCTGTCACTCTGCCAATCATTTCTCGGAAACGATAACATACGTCAGGCCTTTCCAAGCCTCACTGTCATGCGGGCTCCTCCGTGCTTTCGTTTGCAAAGCAAGTGGAAGGTGGTAGATATAGCCCAAATTTCACATTGGGCGCCTTTTTGTATATTGTTGGGCTATTCGGGACAATTTAAAAGCAACATTCAATTTGCATCAATGTAACGAAGGCCGATAGTTCTTTATAAGTAATAAAACAAACCAGGAAGATGTGTTTATTGAGGAGATAGACGGCAGACTCTTACCCATGAGTCCACAAGAGAAAAGGGCAGTTCCCTGGGTCATGGTCTGTGCCTGGAACTGCAATTAAAGAAAGAGTCACAGTCAGCTCCACAGAAAGTCAACAGGTTTGCATCAAATGTACAGGAGGTTCTGGCATTAACGTCAATAAATCAACAAATATATCGATTACAAATCGAACATAAGGTACATAATCGATTGTATCGATACTTGGAAACTGCACATTGGATTTAAGCACAAAAACGGTATGGATGTGTGTTTGTTTGTTTGTTTTTTAGCACTTTAGACACGTTAAACATTCAGTCTGCCTGTCTGTGACGTCATCAGTACGCAGCGGCCGCCGCGTGAAACAACAACAAAACACAGCGTGGAGGAGACGACTGCGAGCGAGACATTTACAAAAAATTATCGATCCAGCGCGTGGAAACATTTTGGCTTTTGCAAACACAGAGGTGTTCTAAATAAGTCGGTTGTTTGCTTGTTTATAATATCCATAATTAATTTAAACCTGATATCCTTACAAGAAACAACCGGGATCTCGGAAACTTTGCCTGCACTGTCCAGTAAAGTTACTGAATCGATTTCAAGTCACTGAATCGAATCGAATCGTTCTAAATTAACCCAGAACGTCCATTAATTGAATCGGCAACCATGAATCGCAATTCGAATCGAATCGTTGTTAAAATGAATCGTTACACCCCTAGTCGAAACGTGCAACTGACGCAAGAACCCCTCGACACATGATGACTTCATTTCCCGTGGCTGAGCGGGAAAGCTTGGGATTTTCTCCCTGGATGCTGGCAGGAGGAAGGTTTCTACTGCATGGATGCTGATTATTCTGATGAGTCAGAGTTGGTCGGCCCGGTGGAACTAAAATACCTCGTTGTCACTCGGAGGGAAGTAGATGGAGCTGTGGCCAAAATCTGTGGCCAGATTTACAAAAGGTCATATTTAAGCTCTAAATAAAGTTGACAAACTAGGAAAATATAATGCTGGGCCATTTATACTGATCGGGAACCATGAGGGAATTTTAATCCAAGGGGGGGGTTGGAATTGGTCTTAGAGGTATGACAATATGACGCATCACATCACACAGAAGTAGGTAATAACATCTTACCGGGCCCAAATCTGTACTTTTGGATGTTACATCGGCGCCCTTTTTTTCCAGTGTTTTCTTGAAAATGATCACCATGGCGACACACATCTTTCTTCCAAGTTTTTCCAGCGAGGGCAAGAAAAGCTGGCGTCCATCTTGACCGGCAGGGCGTGGACACGCTGGTTTCTCATAAAAAAAAAAAAAAACGGTTAAGACGGCGGCCCTCAACTCCTCCCGGGAATGCTCTTCACTCTCCGGCGCCAATCCTGACAAACGAAGAAGAGGAGCACAGGATTAGAATTCAGTACATTTTTTACATTCTGGCGGCCATATAAGCGGAGAACAATCCAGTTGGATTGATGAGATCTGATCCGCTGAGCGGAGGCTCGGAAACACGCCCGTCAACCGAGGGCAAACCCGGTGCTCTCTTTTTTTTTTTACGGCTTTTCACAGTAAAACGCGACTTGAGGGGTTCTCCTGCTGAGTAGCTTCATTCATCAGAGTGGATGCCTGCAGCATAATCCATCCCTCTGCCCGAGTCATCCGTCTGCTTAGTGCGAGTCTGACAAGTGTTGCTTTAGCAGTTGACAAGAGGCAACAACCCCCAGTTCATCCTCTTTATTTTCTTTGTATATAGAAGTCTAATAGAAATGGACTTAATTTATTACCTCAGTAAACATTGTAAACACAGGTTTTGAGTCTCCAGTCTTCTTCAATACAGCCTGGCAGTCATTCGGTGAATGACGGTTCCACTTGGAGAAAGGGAGAGAGCGTAAAGCAGGGCGTGCGTCGGGGGTGGGCTTTCTGTGACTGACGGCTCGCCGCTGCTTGCGTGGCCGCGTCGCGCATTCCACATACGGTCACTGCAATGGCCCAAGAGGGCGGCGGCCTATCCGCCGCGCCGGAGGCTTTAGGATGTTTGACGTTGCGATGACTGCGTGGACTTCTTTAGAATTATAAAGTCTGACTAGCCGTTTTTTTTTAGTCTACCATCCATAACTAAAAAATAAGTATTTCTGGATGGAAGAGTCTGTGAACACATTGAATCCTCAAGCTCATCACACACACACACACACACACACACACACATTAAAACCATAGCGCACTGAATTGTTTTGGAATCTGAAGTTATATAGTCACAAACAACTTGCAGACATGTTCAAATTATACAAAAGTGAAATTAGCACAGTAGAAATGCAAGAACGTTTAGTGGAAGTTCCCGAGCGAGAGGCTTTATTTTGCAAAGGGCGTTGCCGGTGTCGCCATACGCGGCCGACCTGTGAAGTGAAGTTACGCTGCATTTTCGCTTCCACATGATCTCTCTCGTGATGCGTCACGAAAAAACTAGAACTTTATACCTTGTTTTGTTCCTGCCTGTCGACGCGGGGATTATCAGTCGTCTGAGAGAGCGAGTTTCCTCCAAGTGTTCCACACTGGAGCACACAAAGAGGAATAGAGCAAAGTCAAAGTTGTGTAATTGAATCCTCAGGGGCCGGCTGAGAATAGCTGACCTTGCGGTTATCAAAACAACCCCTTTTCGCATTAGCGCTGCTGCGCGGTTACAGTACGCGGCTGATTAGCCAGAGATGCGAGTGTGCACACGGCGCAGAGGGTCCGGGTTCTCGATCCGTTCCACCCGAGGTGACGTCAGCAAGGGGGTTTCGAAGCAAAGTGCAGCGGACGCAAGCCGGTCGTGGGTCAGAGGATGTTTTAATGGCCGAGATAAAGAGAGAGAGAGAGAGTGTGTGTGTGTGTGAAACAAACGAGCGCTGTGTGCAGAAGATGAGACACCGTGGGAAACAAAAGCGGCGACATCAGCGGTTGCGGGTGGAGTGGGGGGGGTGCAGAATCACAAGACCTTGAGGGAGCTGACACACTGCAGGAGGTGTTTGCTTTCAGCGTACGGTTCCCATTACTGACTCGCATCGCGTCGAGAAAACAACTTAAAAAGTGTGTGTTTTTTTTTCCCCCGGCAAAGATCAACGCGGTTCGAGGACGTCTGGCAGCTTTGGGTCGTGTCCTTGAGGAGAAGATCGGATCAGAGCCTGGAGCCGCAGCGGGTCAGGCCAGCTTGTGCTGTTGTGTGTGACCATCGAGCAGGCAGGTCTGCGGCCCACAGCAGAGATAACCGGGCACACGCGGCGGTGGAGGAAACCATTGTTCATATATTAACAGTGATGGCTCGGTGGAGGGTGCAGACGCCAAAAAGAAAAGAAAAAAAAATCACCCAAAAGAAAGGAAATTGGCAAAAACTACAACCGTCTTTCACATCATGTTTACACAAATTGAAAACTGTAAATTATGTTGTTTTTTTCCTGGCCTGACATTCTGGACTCTGAGCCCTAAACAACCTCCCTTCTCGTGACGGAGAATCACAACAATTCGTCATCTTTCTCATACTCTGGCATTATGTTTTGTTTTGTTTTTATCCCATAAATCTGGGCTGAGTTCTTTAAATGGGCGAGGTTTATAACATAATTACAAACATTCCTCTGCTCCATGACATACACGCTGTTATAAAAGCCAAACCGAGCCACACGGCCTTTTGCGAAGCATTCAAACTTCTGACAAGTTGTGAACAGAACGACCTTTTTTTCTTCATGTACAGACGAAGCCCACGAAAGGCTTCCGAAGCCCAGCGGCTGCACCCAACTCACACCGAGTGCCCTTCTGACGTCCAAAAACCCGCATCGCCCCAATAGTGAATGTTACGGCCATTATCTGGAATCAGTTGGGAGTCTCTAACGCGTCTGCAAGGCCGATAGCTCTTTATCTGGGCTGGAGCAGCAACGGCCATGACGGGCGAGAGGTCTAATCTCTGAAGAACGCCGCAGGACGTCCCCCCCTCCGACGGAGCTTTCCATCACACGCAAAAAAACAGGTCCGCAGTGACAGCAGGCCTCCCTCGAAGACAACAATGCCGCTGCCTTGGACGAGCTGATGGGACTCCAACACTTCCTTTTGTGGTCAACGCCGCGCCTTTTCAACCACTCGCTGCTTTGCCGTGTCCCCAAACGAGGGATAGATAAGAGGGGAAAGCACCAGCGGGCCCATGTTTTTCTGTAGAAGATGGGACCCAAGGGTGCTATAGTGCGGATGCCAACTGTTCTAAGACTCACCAACGATGCACGAGTCCAGAAAGACGCCAAAACTGTCAAGCTACGCCATCACAAAAGGCCTCCGAACTGTAGCCACCCGTGAAAGCTGCGCGTCCCCAATTAGAGCAGCTTTTCCATACGTTGCTCAGACTGTAATCCCACAGGTTAGGTCAACATTACGTAAGGATTTGGCAGCTTTGTGTCTGACTGGTAATTAGAGCTAATACTAATCCATTTCATAGCACTCGGGCAGCTGGTGGAGAACAAGCACAGTTTGGAATCATTGTTGCACCTTTTATGGCCGACTGATCAATGCATGTGTGAAACCACGTGTAGACCCACATTTAGTATCACACGAAAGTTATTGTGCATCTGAGACGCACCCCCCCCGCCGCCGCCCCCCTCACCCCACGACTCGAAACCTAACTGGGGGATTTGTGCTGCTTGTCGTCCTCACCACGCCACTTTGCGAGAGGAATGCCGGGTCATCGATTGGCTGGGAGATGTTCCTTTGAAGAGCTTTTGACCCTGAGCCACTGGCTCTAGCGGCCTACTTCTTTGGGCCACGCGGCTCACGCGGGATCCCACATTTGGAATCCCGTCTCAGCAGTTCCTCGGGTCGCAACGCCGGGTGTGTTGACGGTGCACGGACGGGGGCCCCCCGCGAGGACCGAATATCTGAATGACCAAATTGGCCAAAGTTCTGCTTTCTGCCCCGTCTACGTGTTCAGTGTAGAAATCCAAAGGCTTTTGAAATCCCAAACTTGTGTTTTCATTAATTAACTGCGGCAAAGGGCAGGTGCCACCCGAGTTTGGCCGCGGCCGACCCGACTGAAAGGGAATTTATGGAACTCATTGTAAAGTGTAGGCGAACCCCACAGCTGTCTGCGTGCTCACAGACATTAGGCCATGTCAAACAGGAGGCACACTCTACATTTAAAGCCGGGTGGGGGGGGAGGGGGGGGGGGGGGCTTCAATGGTAGTTATCAGGCTCAGCCGAGGGCCTGGGGTACAGCCAAGGCCTCACAAGCATGCAGCTGCCCACTTACCATAAACACAAAGGCTCAGCATGGCTATGCATGGCAGCGAGGAGTCCTGCGCTTTTTTTGGGGTTGTTTTTTTTAAAGCCAGCCTGCTGTTTAATCATCTCATACATAATCACTTGCACTGTACACACTTGCCCGGAGCGAGATGCAATTCGAGGCTTTCAACCAACCTGTCAAGAGTTTGAGAGAAACGCTGAGCGCTGAATCCAACAAAGTCTCTTAATTACAAAAGGGAGGAGACACGACGCTCTCCCTACTCCCACCGTGGAACAAAATTGCTTGTTAATAGAGCAACGTAAGAGGTCGTCCCATCCAGTGGACGCTGCTCTATTAACTTTCAATTCACTTTAGGAGTTGAGGGGGAGAGAGAGCACTCCTGAGTTTTGCCTGCAGGAATGCCTCCATCCCCCACGCTGCACTTCCACGGAAACAACGGGAGAAAGCCGGGGAAACCTCCAGAAAAAGTGTTTGAACAAAGTCATAACAGTGGCGTTACAATTCACAAGATCCCGGAGAGCCTTAATTTCAGTCTAAATGAAAGCAGTGTCATCTAAGAGACACTTTTATACTTGAGCCAAAACTGTTCAACATGTTTTTTGGGGGGACGGGGGGGGGTTTAGATGAGTTTGCCAGCCCTCCAGGTGGATGTCTCTCGGTTTCAGAAGAAAAATGCCCTGAAAACTGAGCTCGCCCGAGTAACCAGCACAAACAGTCCTTTAAAACCCTTTTCCAAAATCCCTCATGAAAGGGAAATGAGTTTGGCAAAGAAATTGGTGTGACGGGAGCTCACAGAATGTTACACGCAGGCTACAGAGCAAACAGGATTTTGAACTTGACAGAAGACCCACAAGCCAAACCGGTGATAAAATATGAAATGTACAGCACCGAAAATTAAAACGACACGTGTATTCTAACATTTTTGTGTTTACTGTTTAAAAATGTATGAATGTTCAAGCCATTCGGGAACCCAGCAGATATAATCGTGGCCACGGGACATTGACAAATTCAGGTTTAACAAGCTCGAGTGTTGTGACCACAAAGATCGCAGAATCGGTTGAATTGTATGTCTTCATACCGGAGGGGAAGGCTGGCTGGATAAAGATAAAACAACAACATTCAACTGCTAAGGCACAAACAGGAAAATACAGGGAAGAATCACAATAACGCAATAACATGGGCACCCAATGATACGGCATCAGGTATAAAGGATTATTACGCAGTCATAAAATGGGTCTCATGCAAGTGCAACCATAAACCACTGACCTATCGCGTGTGTGTGTGTGTGTGTGTGTGTGTCCGCAAACCCAGTTTGTGTTCAGTGCATGAGCTTCAAAGCCAATTCTGAAATAAAAAATGCTTTTGATCTAATAAACAGTATAGTGTCTCTTTGCAAACGTTAATGGATCACATGGTCTCAATGAAAACAGTTTGAGTTTGCACTTATTGTCAGATGTACAAATGAAAAAAAAGCCAAGCGTAACTAGTTTGACATCGAGTAGGTGAGAGGGTGATCCTGGCAGTAAAACTGATATCATCAGATCTAAATATATCATTTTAGACCCATATGCATACGAGCAGGTCTGAGCTTCACGTAAACTTATTGGGACTTCTTGTATTAATCTCCTTTAAAAAACGCTGCATCCCGTCGGTAAGGACCTATTAAATGGCAATAGAGAGGTAATAAGCAGGAGAGAGGACCGATCGAATCCCCTCAGGCTGCATCTGTGTCAGTAATACCTTCAGGGAAGACAAAAGAGACCTCAGCCACGATACATGAGGAAAAGTTGCTAAGCTAACTCCTTAGAGCTAAGTAAAGTTCCCACGGGGAGGCTACTTTGTAACTGCTCACAAACGTGTCATCGCACTTCATCACGCACTTTTCTGAAGCACAAGGGAGCATCACACTTTGTGGAATTAGCTACTAGATCCTCAGCTAGCCAGTACAGAAACTTTATTATTTTTATATCCACTAAAAAAAAAATTAAAAAAGGCACCACTCACAAGCATCACGGGGGCAGAGCCTCGTGTCTCCGACAGCACCGTGGCGGCCGGTCAGCGTCGCTGGCACCGCGTTGAAGTGTTTGTTTTTAAACATTAAAAAAAACCTTGGACAAGAAGTCGGGCAGGAAGCAAAAGCGAGCAGTTCCCTCCGCGTCCTGCTGCAGGCGGCTCCTGCGAACTACAACATTGCCCCCAGTGCGCCGCCGTCCAAGATCGCACGCTAATGAGCCTGTGACAACATACGCGAGCAGTACCACTTTACACCGGCGGGAGGGGTGTGTGAAAACTTATTTAATGGCTATACGTCCCTCGTTCTGACGTTCGTTATTTGGGTTATTTGGCGTGGTTCGGTTTTAATATCTAGTTCAGCTGAGGTTGTGTGGTGGTGGAACGTAAAACTTTAATATATTTAAGACTTTATTTTTTTTTAAAACGCTACCACCCCCCACTGCTGTAAGTAGTGGAGCGATCCACCCCGCAGTAATGAAAAGTAATCACGGTTTTGAGCCGTGCGCATAGACACTTTGACAACTTACAGGAGTGTAACACGATAACCTGCCGACTGCGTGGGACTTAAAGAGCCAGGTGGATTTCTAGTTCCCCCATATAAAATCAGCTCTAGTGTAAAAGGAGTCAGGGTTTGTCCTAAATAAATGCATTTATTACAAACAGATGTTCTCCATTGGCTTTATTGGCAATATGTTTTTATTTAAACTTTCTTTTCACAATTTTATTCTAATAAAAATTGTCCAACCCGTTTTTGTATTTATTGTAAAAAAAACAAACGAGTACAATCATTTTTTTTACTTTAAACTCGGGGTTTAGTTTACATATCAACACATATTATGCAACAGGTTGGGGCGAGGGTCGCTTGGCCTGTGTTCGCCTGCATATTACATTGTTATCACTGAGGCCAGCGGTTCCATCCACCAAAGTCCCTGTGATCGCGCTGTTGTGATTCCATTTATTTTAAATACATTTAGCCAGCTAGAATAGGTAAAACCAGCATTTTCACTTTACTTAGTTCCTGTTCTCCTGCTGCCCCTCCACATCCAATGGAATGCAGGTGCCTGTGACTACACTCACCTAGAATGGAGAGTGGGTTTGGAAGCTGGAGACGTGCCGAGATGCCCTTGAGCAAAACGCCTAACCCGCAGACCTGCTTCCCTGCTGTGCACTAGCGCCGCACTGCTCCTGATTCCTGGAAGGCGTTAAAGGCCGAGGTTATATTTTAGTGTCCGTGTGGTGACGTGTATGGCAGTAAGAATTGGTTTACTTTTTTTTTTACAGCTTGTTCACATATAATAGCTGTATGGTGTTGTTTTCCCCCCTATGTTAGTGTTTGGATTTGTGTAAATTGACGTGACATGAACAGGACATGACATAAACTGACATGGGTTTACTTAATAAGCCTTGACATATGCCAACTATACTCATGACCTGTATTGTACAAAAGTAAGGCCACTGATTACCGTTGGGACAATCACACCACAGGCCTGTAAGTTCATTTACTTTGTGGGGGCTGAGGTCAAAGGAGGCCGCGGAGCTGAAGCTCACCCCTGGCACACACTATTCTTAATCAAGGAGTAACATCTGCTGTGTGCCACTAATCTCCCCCAGACTGTCCTCCATCGGGTTTTAGACCGTCTGCCCTTTGTGGTTGAAGGGGCACCGAGGATTTGTCTTCTCCACCGCGTGAGCTACAGTATGCGGCTTTTACCAAAACCCAAAACAGCTCATTGTAAAAAGTAGAAGTATTGCAACTCATCAAGTTTGGCTGTGTGTGTTGTGACAGACAAAACCGTAGGGGGCAGCATGCACCAATCAAACTAACGAGTAATAGCGCCTGTGTGAGAGAAACAATGGACCTTGATTTAGGTGTTTCTGGTTCCATGTCTCTTTGACTTTGTCAGCGTAACTGCAACCAGCATATGGTTGACAGTAAATAGGAGGCGAGCGTCCAACTCGCCGCGCTGAGACCCCATGCGGACCGCTGCATGCCATCTGTGGCTCACTCCGGTCTCAAACAGATGGCTGAAGGACTCCTGTTACAGGAGCCATCCACTTCTCCACTTTAATGAACAGATAATCCGCTCCTTCACTGACCACATTGCACATTCGAAGGATTTGGGTTTATCGATCAAATTTGGACTTTGGTTGTCACTCGTAAAGTCCATAAGCTCGAACAAATTTTAAAAAATACAATCTTGCTAAGTAAAAGAAAAACACTGAAAGCATTTGTCAATAAGAGGAAGTACATTGACATAAAAGTGAACTTTTTGCATCTTATTGTTGAATTTCTCTGGTGTTACCCGTGGGGGGGGGGGTACTGTAATCACAGCTCACAAAGAGACCATATGGCTTCCATGAACTCCATATAAATTTCACTGCTTCTCATCCATCCTGCTAATCCTCTCCTGTGATGTTTACAGCCAAGTTAATTGAACCGGCATCTCTGTGGGTTTCGGAGATCCCTTCTAAGAGGCTCCAAAGCAGCGCTTGAGCCCAACGAGCACATTGTTAGAATCTCCGCGCCATCTGAAGAGAGATGCAGCTGTTCCTCCAGGAGCGGCTCACGTGTGACTGTGTGCGGGAGTTATTCAGAAAAAGGGCAGTCGTTTCGAAGCTATGATTAAAGAAGGGTACTTATAATCCTAAGTAAATGGGAGTAAAAGTAACAGTAATACAGTGAAAAAAAAATTACATAAAAATTCAGTGCTCAAAAGCTTTACATACGTACAGTATAATCACCAGAATGCACCTAAATTAGTGGAACTAATAAATGAAAGCAAAGTATTAACATCAATGCATTAATTTACAGCATAAGCTGTCATTCAACAATCTAGCAGGTCAATATGGAGCCAACTTTACTGACGTCTGATCTTGTCTTAAACCATTTATTTATTTATATATATATATATATAAAAAAATAGATTACCTATTGATTTTCATGAATACATTTTAGACGTTATGCTTTAATGTGGTAAGTAATGATTATCCTACACTAATTGAATGAAAAATTGCATCAACAAATAATCAAAGTGTTTGAAAGAAGACAGGTTACGAAAAGCAAAATAGCCCAAAAATTACAAAATGAATCACTGTGTGAGAAACAATGTTTTTGCCTGCGGGGTTTCATATCTACAAAACAAAGAGCACCTTTTCATGAGGACAGTAATTGGTCTTCACGGTGTGGTTTGAAAAACAGATTTATTGAGACAGTTGCTGTGAAGTCAGGCAGTTGCACACTTTTACTGCTACACAAAGTGTAGTTTTGTAGTAACGTTTCCATCTAACATCTGTTAATGTACCACTTTGTTTAAAGTGCAGCTTTAAATAGTTGATGTTAAAGTTGTCTTAAAATATAGATTTTAATACAATTATTTTTACTAGTCAGGAGTGCAAAAGGCAACTTGAGATCAACCACTAAATAATAAAAAACAACATTGAAAGCACTTGTGTTGAAAACTCCTCAGTAAATATCTGTAAATATATTACATTATGTATTTATACATTTACCTCTTTTAAAAAAAAAAAAACTTATTTCAAAAGCACCCTTATTTTATTCCCTTCATCGGGATTGACTAATACCTGGGAGGTTCGTGCAGGTTTCGGGGATTCCTCTCCTTGAGAATCGCCCCTGTGCGTCTCCATGTGCGCCTGCACGGACCTCCACAGCGCTTTGATGTTCCCCTCACCAAAACCCGTTGCCCCCTTTCGCTCTATCAGCTCCAGGAAGAAGGTGTCCTCTGCAAAGACGGGCTTGGTGAACACCTGGAGAAGGTACCTGAAAGGCAGACAGTAATGAGGCGAGGACGCTCGCTTGGTTTTATGTGACTCTGCGAAAAAATAAACGACTGGGCCTGTGACGAGGAGGTTATTTTAAAAGTGGCGCGTGATTGAAGTTGTCGATTTCTCTCACCCTCGGTTTACACTGGACCGGCGGTCCCGGTTCAGGTCTGTGTCCAGGAGGATGCCGTGCTTCGCCAGCATCTGGGGGCTGTGTCCCGCCTCCTCTATCTCCTGCCGTTTGCCCACCTGTGCCCGCAAAAAGGTTAATAGATGTTAACCGCCGTGGAAGATGTTTCTAATTTATTCCGAGGACCCCGCCTTTTAAATATGACAAGACGATTTCATTCATTTTAATCACATTATATTTTATTAAATAGAAGACAACTGACATTTTTAAGGGACAAACATTTGATATATATATATATATATATATATCAAATGTTTATATATATATATATATATTATATATATATATAACGTCATTGAAAACATTTAGAAATGACCCAAGCTATGTCATTATTTTAATTTCCCCTCATCACTCTCAGTTAAGACACAGTTAATAATTTCTTCTCTTTTTTTTTACTCAGAATTCAGAATCCATAATTTCACAATATAAGCACAACCATGACCTGTTTTGTTTGTCTGATATTAGCACATTATTGCAAATTGATTTACTACTAATATATTGATATATTAGTATATTTACTACTAGATATATTAATATATTTACTACTACTACGCCCGCAATATATATATATATATATATATATATATATATATTTGGAACTCGTTGCATTTTTTGCATTGATCAACGCAGCATACATATACTTTTTTTATATACAAATCATGTCAAACCTGCATGTAGTAGGCCTGAGGGGGGGAGAAAAACTGGACCCCGGCATCGGCCATCGCATGAGTAGTAGACACGATGTTTTCCGTGTACAGCCCAATGTGCTGGATCCCCGGGGCGCCGTGCTGCTCCAAGAAGGTGTCGACCTGATTCCTTCCTGGAACAAGTGCAAGCACACAGTGATGCAAAAGGTGCACCGTGGCCCTTAATTCAGGGCAGAAGTAAAATGGCTCGACAGTTGTGACGCCTACCTTGTTCGGAGAGGGATTCTGCGATCACAAACTTGCAGTCGGGCTCTTTTTTGTCGACGGAGGGAAGTGCGATGCCGGCTTCGCTGCATTTCCAGTACTCCATGGCGGTGAGACGCAGTCCGATGCCCTCCTGGTTTATCACAAAACCTTCGTCCACGTCTTCACCGCTATTCAGAAGGAAAAAGGCAGATTTATTACGCAACCCAGGTAAGTAGGCAACAAAATGTAGAGAGAAAGAGAAAAAAAGGTTCAACGATGCTCTTAGGATCTAACCTCCCAAGACGGACACGTGCACGTCATTTGTTTGTGACTCGTGATGTGACCACGTCTCATGCAGTCTTGGGAAATTGAATTTGGATATAAATTTCTATTAAATAAATCTGTGAATGTTAAATAATTAAAAAAGATAGTCTTATAGAAAAACAAAATAGGAACAAATGACCCTTTTGTTATAGCTGACAATACAGCTGTTGTGATGCTTTCGCACTGCATTGTATTTTTGTTTTTCTTCGTCATTATATATGGACTACGGAGTACGAAAATAAAATACAACGAAACAGTAAATGTTTGGAATTCTTACCCATCAATGAAAAACCTTTGAAAACCAAAGAGCTTCTCGTACCACCGCATGACCTGTCGGGTTGTTTTCCTGTGACACACGTATGTTATGTGATCAAAATGTGTGATTGGACAAGACGTGTCCGCGTCCGGCGGGCGGAAGTCACCCCCGACGCCTTCGAACCCGGGCAAGAAGCTACCCTTGTACTTAGTCCTGTCAATCAACGTGTGGCACACATTTCCCACGATGGATTTGACCACCGAGTAGGTGACGTAACCACACCGGTCGTGGACCGTGGTGGGCGGGACCAGGAAATCGCAGCCCAGATGGCGCAGAGCCCTGGATGACCTTTGCACGTCGTCCACCTCGAAACACACGTTGTTGACGGTGTCCACCGGGTGACGCGCGCTGACGTCATAGAGGCAACCCGACGGCTCCCCGGCGTTGTGCGGTGTTGTCCCCACGTGGGGCGGCCGTGGAGCGCGCGCGTGGAGCCCGTTCTCATTCATTCCCACGCCGGCCCGGCCGGGTCTCTCCGTCACGACGAAGACGGCCGCCCCCTTCCTGACGGCCAGCTGCTTGGCGCCGTCGGTCAGTCTGGTGGCGAACAAGCTAAACTTGAATTTGGAGACGAGGTCGCCGGTGACTTTCTCCGCGTTGGAGACGTTGAGCGAAACGTGGTGCAGCCGGGTCAACAGGGCCGCCATGGTGGAGTCAAGCGACAGCTACTACGCCCGCAAACGCCGAGACGAGCGCCATTCATTCAAGCAGGTCTCGCGCTGTGGCCGAATGGGGGAGTTACAATTTCCGGGCACGTCACGTGACGGCAAGCTCGAGGGGCCGGGACAAATTGTTCTCCGCGAATTTACATTGGGAAGTTTATTGAACATTATTTCCCGTAGATCAACTTCCCAATACGAAGGGCGATTCTTCTTCTGTGCGAAATGTATATTTAAATTAGCAATTAGCATTGGATCACACTAGCAATAAATTCATGAGCCAAGTTAAGGGGTATTATTATGTTTTCGTTACCATACAGTTACAGTGAGGGACGTAAATTTTCGGTTGATTTTTGAAAGCCCCCTGCCAACTTGATTTTTTCTTTCGATTTGTCTAAGTTCTGTCAGTGAGCGACGGTTGTTCTGGTTCTCTTTTGCCTCCCTGGACTGGCCCAATTTGTCTTTAAAGAGCAACTATTTACGTGTTGATGATAAAGTCGGATATTTCTGAAATATCTGGTTAAATGTCCAATATTCCACTGTTTTAAAAACACAATACAACATAACATATGTTGGGATTCAAGGTCCAAACCAAACGTTTTAAGCTTGAACCGTGGCAAATAAAAACACAACCATTGCGGGCCCCCCATTATCAAACCCAACCGCTCTCGCGAACCTCTCGTGAATGTTCGGACAATTTCCGAAGGTTCGTGAACGCAACGCGCTTATTTCCATTTGTCCAATAGCCTTGAGAGCTGAGCCAGATGATTCGTGACGACAGCAGGCGAGCGTTTATTTTGGCTCTGCTACTCATTTGTCTCGCTGTCGCCGCCATTAAACAACACGGAGGCACGCAAACCATGGAGGGTCGCATGTCTGTACCATGATTCACGGAGTACGAAGGCGTCGCCGAGGTGTGGTCGATTATGTACGCGGAGGTAAACATGTGAGAGGCCAAAGTGGTCGAAATAACTCCGATTGGGAAAGGTTTTCTAGAGGAGGAGGAGGGCGGAGGAAGGGGGGGGGGGTCTGTGCAAGAAGGGTTTGTTGTGGTTTTCAGCGGCTCATGAGAAACGGGCCCCGCCGCAAAAAGGTAAGAATTTTACGCATTTTTCTTAAAAAAATATTCCGTAATATGACGTGGTTCGTACTTGTACTGGGCAGGAAATGGTTGTTAACGGTTATCCTTAACGGCAACTGGCAGGTGGTTCGTTGGACAGCTAGCAGGCTTAACCATTGCTAACGTCAAGCCGAAGCTACATTACAGCACAACAAAGCCAACCGTCATCCGTACCAACCCGAGGCTGTTTAACGATACTCTAACTTATAACTAGCCTCCGGCGTGCAATTTTAATCAAAATCAATCGCTAAACAATCACACAGCGGCGTCCTGACCAGATGGCACGTTAGCCGCAACTGCTGCGATACACACTTCGTTAATGTCACTGCGTGAAATGTCAGCGTTACTAGTATCTGAAACACGAAACTAGTGTGTCATATTTGATGACCTTCAAGATGACGTAAGCTTCTTTTTGTTTGTTCCTTACGACTCACTAGATCCCTCGCATCAATTTAACCACCCAAAGTGATCCACGATGACCGAACAGAAAGTCAAGTGGTCATGTGACTACTGCACCTACGAGAACTGGCCGTCTGCGGTCAAGTGCACGATGTGCCGTGCGCAGAGGCCCAGGGGTCCCATCATCACGGAGGAACCTTACAAGAACAGCCCCGACCTGGACCACGGCCTGGGGTGGGACCCCGCGAGAACTGAGAGCGGCGGCCACCTCCTCATCTGCCCCGACTCCAGCGCCAGGCCGAGGGTCCGGTCAGCCGGCATGGCCGAGATTGCCAACAAGTGGTCTTGCCAGATGTGCACCTATCTGAACTGGCCCCGAGCGCTCCGCTGCACTCAGTGCCTGTGTCAGCGCCTGAGGACCAGCAGCCCCACCGAGTCCCCCCACACGTCCGGCTCCAACGCGGGCTGTCGTCCCCCCCGCCACTCTCCGGTGGATACCTGTGAGGAGTACAATGACCGAAACCGACTCAACACCCACCCGCCGCACTGGACATGCACCGTTTGCACTTACCAGAACTGGCCCACCACTACAAAGTGCGTGGTCTGTGACCACCCCAAGCCCAGCAACCAGGAAGCCATAGAGCTGGCCGACTCCACGGAGCCAACGCCCGTGATAAACGAACAGGACCGGGCTCGCTGGAGGGGCGGCTGCAGCGGAGGCCAGGGCCAAAGGAGGTCCCCTCCGATGCCCAAGAGGGAAGAGAACGTCAAAATGGACTTCCAGAGGATCGGGCTCGCCGCCGGAGCCATGAGCAGCAGAGAGGAGCAAGACGTCGACTTCAAGAAGCTAAAGCAGATTAGAAATCGGATGAGGAAAACGGACTGGCTGTTCCTCAATGCATGTGCTGGTGAGTTGTTATACGACGTTGCGTGTCATTCCTGCGAGGTCCATTATGAGTACAAATAGTCAATTATATGATTATTTGTGAGAAAGCCGTTTGCTTCTTTTCTCTCTGACTCACCTGAATAATTCTTAGACAAATTATCCATATTCTTCTCCCAATTTCCTCGTAACAACCCTTCTATTGTGGCGGCAGCTTTTTGTTTTCTTCTATGATGTCATTCTCTGTTGACTTACCGAGGCAATTGAGCTAAAGGCCACTGTTTTTGTCCCAATGGCAAAACATGCAGCTTCCTGTTGGTTCTACTTTATTACAGTGACGGTGGGACCTCACCCTGTAAACACTGTTTTATCAATAAAGGGCAACATGTGCTTGTTTAGTCTCCAGATATTATCGTACAACAGGCATTTCTTTTCAAACACCCGCTTGGCACACTCTGAGAGACGGGTTTCCTTTCACAGGGTGGTGCCTTCAGGTGAAAAATATCCCCCGTAATGAGCGGCAAATAAAAATAAACAAAGCACGAATGACGCTGAATGGCCTCATTGTAAAGCTGCGTAACCCAGTGGCTCGTAGGAACTTGATCCGTCTCATCAGCGAGCCCCCCCGATGCCCTCGCTCTGCCACCGAGAGCGTCTTTGATGCACTGAGAGGGTGCAAGTGCTCCCCAGCTGGCCGGGATGAATGGGCCGTCTGGGTAGCGCAGCGAGCCTGTGGACCAGAGACTCTCCTGGTCTCTACCCCCCCCCCCCCCCCCCACACTCCCCTCTGGAAACAATGGTGTGTGTGTGCCGAGTAGGGGCTCTAGGAGGCCAAAATACACTGGTCTCCAAAAATAAAAGGGAAAGTACAATATATCACATGATCCGTGTTGTTGTGGAGCTGAAATGACTCTCTGTTCAGTGATAAACTCATGGAGACGTTTCCAGCCATTGGATTTTACTCTGAATATCGCTCTGCCTTATTCCCACCGCGTCAGCTGACTTTTTATTTCTACAGTTGGGCTCTTCAAAGGGAGGAAGTGCCTGAGTTGCTCTTTATAGCCGAGCCAAGCACTTCCTCAGGCCGCACAACTTGATTTCGCTTTGCTCTAATGTTTCTGGTTGTTTTTCCTTTTGTTTTTTTTTGAGAGATCTGTATTTGGGCCAAAGAGGGATGATCCTATTGACCCCCCCCCCATTCTCCTCCCTACACACACACGCAAAAGGAAACGCGGCCCTGTTTGTGTAATATTGTTCTTTTGTGTAGGCTTTTCCCGGCGAGTCTCGCAATTGCATATAATAGTTGTCTCTGTTTACACATATAATTCTTACATTTTAGTATTGCTTGAGATGACGTTATGCACACTATGTGAGTACAAAAACATATTGTGAAAGAGCTTGGTGCTGCCGTAGAACACTGTGAAGATCCTGCGGATCTGCTACCAGTGACTACAAAACTGTAACACAGTATTACAGTCTGTCCACATGACTTCTATGATGCCCCATTTCTGGCCGTTCTGAGAGACCTACATTGTTTAGACTAATCCCGGCATACTAATATGTTAATACGGCCTTTAGAGTGTGTGCCAACTCTCTGCTGTTTGTTAATCCTGTGCAGCACGACTTCATAGTTTACACGTGTAGGAACGTGCGATAGTTGATGAGAAAATGTAAAAATAAGCCCCAGCAGAATTTAGCGCTCCAACGGCTACGCGTGCCGTGAGTCCAGCTTAAGATGCTCCTGAGGATAAAGAAATGAATCTGTTTTGTACTTGAAACCAGCATCACTGCAGCCCGCCGTCCTTACCACCTGTTTACTACCTATAGAAAAACAAAGTGGTACAAGTTGTCCAAACATTCACTGTTTTATCCGCTAGTACAGTCCACAGCTAGCCAGCAAACAGGAAGGGATGCAGCATGCGTCCCGGGCTTGAATTCAATTGGATGTTGTGGTATGCAGATTAATCATTATCAGGATGTCCCCCAAACGTGTACGTTTTTAATGCGCAGGAGGAGTCTGCTGACCCGGGGACACACACGGGTCTTCCGTAGTCAGAATGAAACGTGGCCTCGGGACACCGCGGTTTTCATCAGGATACCTTTTTGATTTAAACCATATCCTTTTTTTTCTTTTTTCAAATGACCTTCTGGTCACCCACCTGCAAAAATAGGTCATGCCAAAAAGGGGGATGCCAAAATCCTCTTGGCATCCCCCTTTTTTTTCTAAACGGATCCGTGTTTGCAAAGCAGCAGCCGGCATGTGTCAAAGGCACCAGGCGTTCTTGGCACGTTCCTGTCCGATGTGCGCTCAAGGTAACCGTGGTGTCATTCTGTCAGAGAGGACAGCCCCCCCCCCCCCCCCCCCCCCTTCTGTCAAAAACAGACAGCGCTCGATGTGACTGATGTTGAGACCAACATTTTTTCCAACGCTAATCTGCACAGACGGTCCTCTGCCTGACACCGGCCTCTCGGATGGTGCGGTTTCTGCCTGTTGTGCCCGGCGGCGCGATGACCCCAAACACCAGCGTGTGCCGTGGGAAATGAATTCACTCGCACGCTAATTTTTTATACGTTGTTTCTTGCGCGGCCCTGGAATGAATACCGCGTGACGCTTTGGGTTTAAAATAGTTTTTCAGAGATTCGACTCAATTGTCTGGTGAATTTTGTAGTGCTGTTGACTTTAATGGTGTTTTATAATCTCAGATTAAACTGCCGTATGCGTGTATGCCGTTGTGATGACGGGAGGCCTTTTTGTGTGCAGGTTTGCATTTGAGCCGCCAAAGCTGTTGATTTGTTTTTCTGAACCACAC